TTATGGATTTCAATTTCTTTAATTAGTCTTCCCATGCAAAGTAACGAAATGTCGCATAGCAAGAAAAAAGAAGTCAATGCAATGATTCCAGATTGTCGATATCTATGAATTTGTCAGGTCCGTGTTTTGGAACTCGTGTCTGAGAGATGCGAATACGGGGATACTTCAAATAGTGGTGTCTGTGTTTACTGTTATAAGTGGCGGTGGGGTTGTCTTGTGGTTAAAGCGTACGTTCGTCACGCCGAAGGCCTGCGTTTGATTCCCCACATAGGTACAATATGTGAAGCCTATTTCTGGTGTCCCCCGAATTGATATTGCTGGAATATTTCTAAAAACGGCGAAAAGCCATAGTCTCACTTACTGCCATAAACTAGCATGCAGGATGAAGGAATCTAATTATACGTGATTAAATGTAAACGATGTCTTAAATATGAGTCGTTCATGTTGTTTGTCACTTGTTTGTCAATTAAATCACGGCAATGAGACGTACTTGGGGTTTGATGGCAAGTCTTGACAAGATTTTATCAGCACATGAATGATATTGAAGAGTCTTTCTTACTTCACAGCTATTTGAACAGCAGACATGAAGTTCGCCGTATTTCTCCTTGTCTTGGCATGTGTTTGCGCTGTCGCCCTAAGCGCTCCTCGTAAAAGGAGGTGCAGACGCAAAGGGGAGAACGGCAACGGCAATGGCAATGGCAACGGAGAGAACGGCAACGGCAATGGCAACGGTAAGAACGGCAACGGCAATGGCAACGGTGAGAACGGCAACGGCAATGGCAACGGTGAGAACGGCAACGGCAATGGCAACGGTGAGAACGGCAATGGAGAATGTAACGAAGGGAACAATGGTGGCAAAGCTGATGACCCGAACGGTAACGGCAATGGCAACGACAACGGTAAAGACAACGGTAACGGCAATGGCAATGACGACTCGTAACGGCAACGTTAACTGAGGTCGAACAAATACTCTTCCAGCGCATCTTTCTAAATGTAAGTTATATGAATGTGACATACACTTTGAGTTAACTGTTTTTTGTAAATAAACGCGACGAACCTTTTCCATAAACTTGTTGAATTTATATTTCTTACCTTTGAAATGACATGCCGGCAAAGCAGCAATTTATATTTAAATAAGCATGGATGCATTGAACACATGCACAATTCACGCCAGAGGGTATATGGGCAACATTGATTCTCATCATGTCGGTTCGAAAGGCTAAATTGTACTGGTACATGCGATGGCACAAAGTGGTCAGAGCATGTACCATTATGCAATCAGTATCCATTATCCATTATCTCAACTCCTATACCTGTTGGGGATGTTGCAAACATAACGGACTGACCAGTCCTCAATGAAAATTGAGGCTAAAGAACTTTTTTTGTTAAAAACCCAAACATCTTGTAACAATGTTTTTTTTGTCAACAGTCTGAAGCATAATACAATTTTGAAACATATTATGGGATAATTCTCCCCTCCCCTTCCCCCTCCCCCTCCCCCATTAAATGGTTCATTAAATCATGTAATAAGCAAATATGCAGCCCTATCACGGTGGCTTGTGAGTAATCGAGTCTGTTTTACCGGTGGTCGATAGAATGAAGGCTTAACGGTGTACCAAGACGAGAATATCAGTTTTATATTGGGGTTAGAAATCTAACCATTATACCACCACACATCCAGTGTGGTCCTCAGATACGTTCTGATGATGTACGGGCGGATAACGTACAAATTATATAAACGTATGCTTTTACTTTCAGGTGAAGCAGTTTCCCATCGAACGTAATCAAGAATGAATGTCCTGCAATCTTGAATAAATACTTTTCCCTATCTTTCAATCTTTGTCGACAATGCTTTTGTTGTTAATTATTGAGAGCTATGACGCTTAATAGATGTTTGACGATAGGTCCGGCCATTAACTGATATTCGGAGAAATTATTATGGCGATATCTTCATCATTTTGTCAGATAAGGATAGCTGAGATCGGCGTTAAACAACAAACAAACAAAACAAAAAGGACAAGGAGAGTTGAAGGTTCGTGGATTCTGAGAGATTTTCTAGCATCGGTTAAGTTGGAAAAACACAAACAATTGTTTGTGGAGTAAATTATTTAGATCGGGGCTCTCGACGAAAGTGAAAGTTTAAAACCGTAACACTCGTATTGAAATCAGCTGCCACGCGCAACACAGTGTCCTATCAAAAAACCAATAGGAGAGGAAATGCCTTGGCTAGACATCATATTGGTCAGTTATCAGCTTTAGATGTCCAGTGGTATTATAACCGCAGGTCTAAATCAATACTATTGACATCATTTCTCCCCCTTTGTGGGGGAACGGTTGGCCAGGTCGTCTAAGGTTTGTCAGTACCATACCAATACTCATGGGTTTCATCAAAGTGGTAATTTAAAACGTCTGAGGCCTGTATCACTTATACCGTTATATAAACGGCATACTGTTCAAAGCGGCGTTAAATCCATTCACTCACTTACGCAATTCAAACACAACCTGATACATTAAATACACGTCTATCTGTAATAGTAATCGGGCATGTCCACCTTGGACATTTGAGAATTCTTTCAATTGTTGGGGATTCATGGAAGAATAAGCCACAACAGGGCTTTCCCCCCACATTACACGGAAGCTGACAGGGCGTGATGTAACTGCATTAAGCCCAGCTCACTCACTCTCCACTTTTGTAGATTTAAGGTTCCCAGTATCAAATGTTGTCACACATGATAACTTTCAAAGGATTGTGGCCACTTGCTATCAGGTCAATCAGTTTATTTCGTAAAGAGGCATGCATATTTCATACCGTAAAGCGCATGATAGCAACAGATTATAATCTCATTTAGAAATGGATTTGTACATTCATGTTGTTGTGTATTAGGATACAAATAAGTAAATTTAGCTAAAAAGAGTGTGAAATCTATTTTCAAGAGGGGGCAGGGGTGGCCCCGTCGTCCAAGGCGCCGCAATTCGCTGTGCAGATTTGCGTCCCTTGGACACACCATAAACCTATGACTGTGGGTTCGAATCCCGGTTCGTCCAGATTATGTTTCTATGTTTTTTATCACCATACCCGTGCTCGTGGCTTTCACCGAAGTGGTAAAGGTCTGAGACCCGCGTCACCTCGTGGCTTTCCTCCCACAATAAGCTGATACGTCGTAGTACAACTGGAAGTCTGTTCAAAGCGGCGTTAAACTATACTCACTCACTCACTCACTCACTCACTCACTCACTCACTCACTCACTCACTCACTCACTCACTCACTGACTGACTGACTGACTGACTGACTGACTGACTGACTGACGCACGCACGCACGCACGCACGCACGCACGCACGCACTCACGCACTCACGCACTCACTCACTCACTCACTCACTCACTCACTCACTCACTTGTCATTTCCGTGTTCTCTGTTATTAACATCGTGGCCAACAATGCCGATCCGATAAATGTGAGCGCTATGACATGGTTGTCACATTTGTTATTGCCATAACCAAAGCTTTCCCTTTTCCATTGTCATTATAATATACTCATCTGTGTGCGTTGCCAGGATTCCAGGAACAAAAAGACCTTCTTTGATTGTTCAAAGAGTTAGGGTTGATCTTTTGCGACAAGAATTTGTTGGTACATTTGCTAGACCCTACAATCCATCTCTCCTGGTACGAAGTGTTATGGAGCTTTATATAGAGATCAAGGGCAAAAGTTGATAGTGATATTGTTTTGTTACATCAATCTTTACACTTATAAGCGCAACTTGATTAGTGAAGTGACGGTAGGAGCGGGTCTGTTGAAGCGCCTTAAAAGGGCAGTTTATGATCATGTTTCTCACAACCCTTTCTTAATCATATTTGTTTGTTTGTTTGTTGTTTAACGCCGCACTCAGCAATATTCCAGCTATATGACGGCGGTCTGGATTATTAAATCTGGACCAGACAATCAAGTGATTGACATCATGAGCATCGATCTACGCAATTGGGATCGATGACATGTATCAACCAAGTCAGCGAGCCTGACCACCCGATCCCGTTAGTCGCCTTTTACGACAAGCATTGCCGCCTAAAGAGATCGCAGTGCCGTGTACGAATATATCATTAACATGTGCTTATGAATCTATCAAATAGTGATTATACGTGAAGGAGAACGTATGCTGCCCCACGGGGAACACCCGTCACTAACACACGCAAAGGCATGTCAATTGTTCACCTAAAACACACACGGTAATGGTGCACGCCAAAATATAGAATTGCACAAAACATCACAATAGCCACTCATGCATCATATTTGGAAATTTCCTCCACGTGTTGGTTGTAAAACGTGTTGAAGGCCGTACTGAGGCATTGAATGTTGTAACCCTGATCACACAACTTTTGAACAAGAACCGAATGACGCTGTATTCATAGAAAGAGCATGCTTGATTGCATGTCAAAAGTTGTGGAATGAAGACACCAAAGGCAGGTGCTGCTGAAATAGTACTCGACATACAGGAAAACATGCGTATCATCCCTCGAGGAACATAAGGCCAGAAGAGCCCCTTGGCTCAACCCTTCACAACGAATTGTGTCGTCTTTTACTGCATGGTCACTCGTGCCCTCTCATTATAAGAACCGTGGTTTATGTTAATTATTATATTTATCATTATGTTACTTATTAACTGTCATGTACTAAAACCATACACATGGCGTGATTCACAAACACAAAAAGATAATATTTATGTATAACGATACAAGTGTTTCTGCATCCATAAACTTATGTATACTGCGCATTGCATGACAGTCAAACAACTTGTTGATCAACCAGCAAACCACGACATGCTCCTGGCAATGGTAATAGTAATTCACATGCATAAAATATGCATATTGAGCGTGACGCATCATGGGTAATCATGGGTGTGTGTTGATCCTGTCTTTTGTGACGTCCCAAAGCAGGTTCTGCATGGAGTTAAAGAGATAAAATATGACATATTGTGTATGATAAATGAGAACTAGGTCAGGCATGACATTACATGTGTGTCTATATAATAAGAGAGTGGACGGTCATCAGGAAACGTTACCACACAAGAATATAATATTCGTTAACACCACTGGTCTGATGTAAGTATAACAATTGTCATTCTTTGTGCATTTATTACTTCTCAAGTCAATGTCGCACGAGTTATGATTATTACATACAAGGAACAAACATTTTTTATAAGGAAGAGAATTAATTGATGCCAACCTCTTTATTATGAGGAACAAAACGTTTGGGAGTTTATACTTACTCCTTCATCGGGTGAATAAATGCTATGAAGCAGAGAACTGTAAAGGGTTGGATACCACTTATCGATTACTAATCACCTGTTAGCGTCAATTAACTATTGCCGTCCCTTGTTAAGTTTCCACCTTCGTTACCTTTTTACTTTTGTTGTTCTTACAGGTACATACATATGTACCAAAAGCCGTTGAAAGATGGCACTTGTTATTACCCTGCCTGGCGCTCGGCATTAAGGGACTAAAACAAGGAATGGCCAGCTCGGAGTCAGTATACTGTGTCTGAGTGGGGTATTTATGTTAAACTGCGGCATGGTATCTCAGTAGGCTAGCACTATAAAATCGGCATTTATTCCGGACTAGTACAAGCAGCCACACACACGCGTGCATGCACCTCACAATAAGTGCAATAATTTTGAACGCGACATTAAACCCCCATTTCACCCCACCTCAACACAATTGGCCCATAACGATCCAACACATTTTAAGACTATTTAATCTGCTAATTTTTAATTGTTTTCAGATTCACTATGACATCACACGGTACAGTACCGTTTACCATTCTTACGTGTGTCAGCGTTGCTCTAGTGTCTGGCGACGATGCATCAATGACGACAATGCCATCTTCTGTGGACACGCCCATCCCAATTCCGATCATGGACTGGCAAGGTAGATAACAGTAAATGTAGACTTTGATAGGCATTTAGAAGTTGGAAGAACATGAATATATGACACATATAGCAACTCCCTTTTTCTTTGTACGACGTTTCAGAGCTACTTCTTGCTCCTTCATCGGCGAAGTAGCTCCTACAAACGCTGTTTCTCCTATACAAATATGTAATCTGTCTGGTAATATTATTTATCAGCCTGTACTACGGATGAAATCGACTGATTTGCTTTTTTATATTGTGCCAGGAGGTACTAATTGTTTTCGAACATTCGATTTGATCATTTGTAGTGATGTGTTCTTTCTGTATATAAGTAATGACTTCAGAACCATTGGCTTTTGGCAGATCCCGGCCCATTTCGTGGTTTGGCCGTGTATTCCGACCCTCCCGATGCCTGATGGGGTGTCGGTTTGGCAACGCCCCGTCTGACTGTACGTGTCCACGTCGACCAGAATATACCTGTGCTGTGAGTAGAATGGTAGCTTCTCTCTTTTGCAAAATGAAACGTAATTTTAGAATCAAGGTGACACACTTACTCTGAATGTCGTTCTATTTACTTCATTTTTAATCATTTGCAAGGTGGGACACACATACTGACGTTGTCCTCTGGGTTTGTTTTGTTGGAATGAAGTATTGTACTGAAAGAGGTCGATCTTAAGTTATGATTGTTAATTGTTATTGTTATTTGTGGTATTATCGGGAACCCCTGCCGTTCATACCACACGTAACACTAATGCCAAGTCTTTTTTGGTTCCATAAGCGGAAAGTCGGTGGTTCGATCCCCAGTTGCGTCATACAACACGACGCTAAGTGCAATAATTTTAATGTGACAACCCATCTGCAGGAGGTCACGCCAGGTGAACGTTCTAATCAGCCAGCTGACTTGGCAAATTTTGAATTCTCGTTTCAAGAGAAGCATCCGGTACAGCTTATCGGTATTCTGTATTTCGAAAACTGAAACGGCAGTTCCGAAGGGAGACTAATAAAAGAGGCTTCACTTTGTGGACTCTACTTCAATGGCATCTAATCAGAAGGAAGTACTATAGAGCAGGCATATTTGTTCTTCTGTGGGTTGGCTTTTGTTTCGACTGAAATTTCTGAAATTTCAGAATCCAGGTCAACGAACGAAATTGTTTTGGAATTATTAAAAGCATCAAAACCCTTTTCATAACCATGCCAAATCTCTGCTGCTCTGCGATTCCGACTACAGTATACTGATGTGTTTATGAATCAATATACCATGTGTTCGCTACATAAAGGGAGCACCCGTCACAAACGCAAGCATATGCAAGTCAATTATTCACCACCTCACCTGACGTGACTCCTATTGAGGGTTTATTATATTTTGACGGGGACAGTTATCAATAAGAACCACAGAGTCCGTTCAGGCAATGGTTTCATATCGTTTAATGTGTAACCCATAATGTGTTTCAGCAATTGAAATGTACAGATGACAAGGTGTGTAAGGTGTTGTTTGGCCGATTCCCCCGCTGTGTTAGAGAACAGGGAGGTAAGTCGCACAGCGTCTCCAAATGATCGTAGCTTAACGATAGTATTATTCATCACATACGTTTACAAATCTGCACTGTTACTGTCGTCTTATTAAAATCTTAATGCCTACACAGGGCCCTGTCATGCAATAGAGACGTTAAAAACGATTTAAATGAAATATATATATTGCCAATGCAAGAGAATATCCACTCTAGATTATCCTCCGAAACAGATTCCATTTGGCGTAATGGGCAAAATAGCTGTGAAAATTATATGAATGGCCTACTGGAAATCAGTGATGACACCAGGTGTTGGCGAAGAGGGTGAGCATCTCCTGCCCTAACACATTGAACACCGCAAAAAACCTGATCATGTGCCTGGACACCACGCCTATATTTCTGAAAAGAATATTTTTTCTCTACCCATGATTCCAGAGCTTGGACCGGTTATATCCGGATTGATAGATTGATAAGAATATTATTGAATTTTCAAACTTCATTTATCTGATCTCACAACTGTACGAAGCACAATTTCCTAACCATAAGGCATAACGTACCGTTGTTGTGTTACATATATTTTGCAGGATTTGTAGGGTTTGTTACATGCTGGTATTGTCATTGTTTGTACGTGCTTGTCATTCCATTCCCTTTGACGATCCGAGTTAGAATTGGTCTTCAGTAACTCATGCGACTAACGATTTTGGATGGGCAGGCTCGTTGACTTGGTTGATGCATGTCATCGCATCCCAACTGCGTAGACCAATGCTCATGATGTCAAGTACTGAATTGTCTGGTTGCGATTATTTTCAGACCGCCGTTATATAGCTGTAATATTGCTGAGTGCGGCGTTAAACAACAAACAAACATTTCAATCACTATGGTTGAGTTCTCTGCATGAAAGAAATGTTTGAAACTCTTCTGCTGTTATGCGCCGTGCAATTGTTGGGATATTGCCGAAAGCGGCGTACAATCATGCTCATCCAATCACACTTCACAAATTAAAGGTATTGCAATAACAAGTGTTTGAATGACCACGTGTTTGGTTTCATTGTATACTTTAGTGTGGAAGAGTTTTTCTAAATTTGAGAAAAATGATATTTGTATTGCAGTGAACATACCACTTGATATTTCACTGCAGTAAACATAACACTTTGACGTAGCTGTTGTCGTACAAGAGTTATCTCCCCGCTAAGTGTCTCCCGATATTGTAACTGTCTGGCCCGTACATAAACTGTTGACTTCTTTTTTTACGTTAGTTCCACATCGACAATGCAAAATATAAAGAGATGGTCATTTATGGAGTTAATATCGCTTCTTGCCCTTTGTTATTCTCTTGAAAATGTTTTCTTATTAACTGTACATTTCTCATTTAACTCGTCAATGGAGACTCGTCTCGCAAAGCGCCATTTTTGTAACTCGACCAGCGTGTATTCCTTCGCTTCCAACAACTTTCTCGTAGGTTTCAAGAACAATTTTAGTTGAAGTTGATTTTGTATTTGATCATATCCAAATGTACGATAAATAATGCAAACTCAGAACTACTTTTGAAGTCGCAATAACAAGGGGTGGTGAAACGCCGCTGTTGGTTAGATAGAGTGAATTTACATGTTTCAACGTCTTACATTTGCAATGACAAAAATAATCCGGTAGACAACTACACAATAAGTATATAAGACATAGGTTATTCCATTGTCTCGTCAAATATTATGTTTCTCTCATCTTGTAACGGGGGAAAGGAGAGTATCTACTTTCCCACATCACTCGATGAGAGAAACATGATATTTCATTCGACACAAGAAATTTCCTCTTTTTATACACCTGTAGTTTGCGAACTGAGCAAGGACGCAGGGACATGTTCAGAGCTGGTGCACCGTTTCTACTACAACAAAGCCACCCGAAGGTGCGAGGAGTTCCACTATGGCGGCTGCGGGGGAAACGAAAACAACTTCCGGAACAAGAGGGCGTGTATGAGAACCTGTAGGAAGAGAGGCGCCTTCTTTAACAGACCTTAACATTGTAACTGTAGTAAATCCATGCTTTACTTGAATTCCATGTAGACCAGAGCCATATTGTCGTATCCACATAAAGTTGATCACACGTCATGCATCATTGCCAAAAATTGAAAAATAACTTGAGTATTGTCTTGAATATTGTCCATCAATCGTTTTACAATAAAATGTGTTAATTTTGCATAGTTTTTTCTTTTTTTTAAATGCCTCATGATCAATACGCTGTGCTTATTGAATATGTTCGAATCATGATCTTGTGTTTTGGGCACCAACACCTCTAAGTACGTCAATGTTTACGAGCTTTTCCATAAGGCCAAAGGATATAAATATCTTGTTTTCTCAGTATTGTGTGAAATATGCTGTAGGTTGGACAGATATATTATTTATTTTGAGATTCATTGTTTTGATCACAATATTTTCACCATTGAAGATCCGGTTTTCAATTGGTCTTCAACAACCCATACAGGTCGTAAGAGGTGGCTAACATAACTGGATCGGGTGGTCAGGCTCAGTTACTTGGTTGATGCATGCCATCACATCCCAACGGCGCAGATCGATGTTCATGATGTCAATCACTGTATTGTCTTGTTCAGATTCGATTATTAACAGACTGTCCTCACATTGCTGGAATATTGCGTTAAACAAACAAATAAACAGACAAACAAACAAAACTAATTTTTTCATAAAATTATATAACTTTAGTTCTCCATGAAGCCTTGTGGTATAAAGCGCAATAATCCGCTCTCAATGTTGCATCCCTTCGTCGTGCTATGATCCGCCGATTGTGAATTCAAATCACAGATTCGCCAAGATATTAATCCTTGAATCGATCCGACAGGCCCAGGCCCATATTGAAACAAAGTCTGATCTCAAGCCAAAAAAAACCCTTCCTCCCTCTTATTTACAAGGAAAAAAAGTGAATATGAAATCTTTCCAACTTCTACGAACGCCGACATTTCTGTCATTTGTGCCGTGTCACCTAGGTTGAGTGATGGCTGGAGCAGTTTGAAACGTCTTTCTGGTGAACATTTATGTCCTCTTCCAGTTCGTCAGCGAAGGTACATACGCGTGATATGTTTGAAATGGAAAAAACACAACAACGTTAATGAATGTTGTCTGTTCGGAGGCTCGACGACCAAACTGTATGTGTTGGCCGACACTTTGGAATAATGTACACAACGGTGTCCGTCTGGGAGCGCCAAATGTGATTTTTAAGAGGACAACTCTTCGTAGCGTTCCCGGAACCAGTGAGGGCTCAGACACGGTTCATTGACACAACATTTACCGCTCCCGGTACCAGGAAAATAAAACGAGAACAGAAGAAGTACCGCTAATCAGTTCCATTACCGTATTTATGCATGTTAAGTTAAAATGTTTTAAATTTTAAAATGTACATATTCCTATCAATGTTCAGTAACGATGAAGTAGTTCCGATAAATGGACTGTATAGTCAGTGTCAGACAGATGGTGGCTGACCAGGTCCTCCTTCAATGACCCGGGGTGGGCGTCGATCTGGCGGTAACGACGCTTACGAGGAGGTTCAGAGGGGTTGCCGACCATGCCAAGGATGCTGACTTTGGTGTTGGACTGCTCTCTCTGGACAGCTGCACCACCTCGCAGATGTTGGAGTGGCTCTTCCTGGCTAGATGGTTGGTCATGTGGTGCCACTCTTCAAGGTTGTGAGTCCGATGATCAGAGTTGCCAAAGTGGTTCTAGATGCCTCAGCTCCTTTCAACCCAAGATGTTGTGACATAGTATATGCAGGCGATAATGTATCGGCAATCGTCTCCAACCACACATCTACCAGTGGCCCAAGGGACCGGGCAGCGGCACGCCTAACAACCTTCACCTAAATACCTTATATGTTTTTATTTTAATATATTTCTATCTTCTAGAGTAACGTAATAATAAAGTGTACAAGAGGAACGATGCTGCACCGTACTCAGCTCTAAAGATATACTAGAAAGAGTACTAGAAAGGGTGACGTTACCGCCTATGTTCACACATTTACTTATATACGACACAAGGAGGACGCATATTTGCTCACTTCAATGCATAATACTGAAAGTAAGCCCTGAAAGAGTGAGTTAAATATTCACGTCACGTCGGCAATATTTCAGCCATAGTGTGACTTGAACAAGTTGTACAAACCCATGCTGGATCGGGTGGTGAGGATCAGTGACTTTGTTGATGCATGTCATCATATACCAATTGCGCAGATCGATGTTCATGATGTCAATCATTATATTGTCTTGTCCAGACTCGATTATTTACAGACTGCCCTCACATAGCTGGAATATTACGTTAAACATAAAACAAACCCAAAACAACCAAAACTAATATTTTCATAAAAGTATATAACATTATTTCTCGGCGAAGCCTTGTGGTATAAAGCCAATAATCCGCTGTCGAGAGTTGCATCCCTTCGCCGTGCTATGATCTGCTGATTGTGAATTCGAATCACAGATTCGCCAAGATATAAATCCTTGTATCGATCTGTCAGGCACAGACCCATGGATATTGACATTGAAACAAACGCTGATTTTAAGCTAAAATCCCCTTACCCCTCTTATTTACAAGGAAATAAGTGAATATGAACGCCGACATTTCTGTCTTTCAAGCTCTGACACTTGTGCTGTGTCGCCAGGGTTGAGTGATGGCTGGTGAGTAATACAGGGATGTCTGACTCAAGCAAACTTGACAAACCGAATTAAAGTCAGACTTGTTCTGTCTTGACAGTAATCTGCAGTCAAACATAACCTGGAGGTTGATTTATAGCCTGATTGGCCAATGAGAACCGCCTTCTGGCATAGGACTCTAGGCAGATTTTTAAAATATTCAAACATGTGATGTTTTCCCATAATTACTATGATGAATATCAGCATTTATTCAAAATTGAAATTTAACATGCTCAGGGCATGGCACAACCAGCCGATTGATAGAACCGGGCCCATTCTAACACCCGTCCAGGTGAAGTTAGGGTCCAAGTGGTGTGTTGGGCAAAGGAACCGTCCTCTTGGAACCAGTGCCAGACTACCTTCTTCCACCGATAGAGGGGCGCAACCCACGGCAAACGGATTGCCCAAGTTTGACGCTTTTTACGACAAGCAGTAGGGTGCTGGGGACACATTCTACCACGGGTCCCCACGAGGCAGCACTGAAAGATATCATTATTATGTTAAATATATTCTTCACTTTGTTTCTTAAGGTTTGACACATGGATTACATTCTTCTCATTCCGGGTAGGAATATAGGTCCCTCACAATCTGTGATTGTCATATAAATCGCCTAATTGATCGGGCAGTCAGATTCAGTGACTTGGATGATTGCATATCATTGTATCCAAACTGCGTCGATCGATGCTCTGGATTCTCTGATCCATATTATATTATTTACAGAAATATATGCGCTGAAGAACAAACAAACATTTTAGTATTCATAAGAAATGTCCACCAAAATTGCACAATTCCAACCATATCATGAGGAAGCGTCGATTAATCACCATCAATAGGTGATGATACCAGGTGGTCGCGAAAAGGTGAGCGTATCCTGCCCCACCTGTGGCACCGTCACAAACTGAAGCAAATGCAAGACTTAAAGTTCACTTATTCTTTATTCAGTACAGAAGGAGGCCATCGACCCACGGTACATTGTATAGTACAGTACACAGCTCAGTCCGATCATACATCATGACACTGTCTAGACTTTCAGATCATAATAACAGTTTTCAAACATTCATTCCGTGGTAAATAAAGGTAGTAAAATGTCTTGAAATTTTTTCATTTGAAGTAAATGTTTCCAGGATGGACATGTCGCAGGGCGTGGAGTCATCCCACAGATGACATCCTAACCTTGTCAGCTTGCTGACGGGGTTAACCTCTTTGGTCATGTGGACAAGGCGTCCGACTTCTGATCAGAAATCGGACATTTTATGGCCGCTAAATTTACTTCCCTGTCAACAGAATGCACGTCCCGGGCCGAATAGATAGGGTACTGAGACTTATTTTGCTCAAATTTAATATGAAAGTGCTCAGCCCCACGTTGGGTGCCAATGTAGCTGCCATAAAATTTCCGAGTGCCGTGATGTGATTCGAAGCACGGACCTTCTGATCAGAAGTCGGACGCCTCGTCCACATGACCAAAGAGGTTAACCCCGTCAGCAAGCTAACAAGGTACGGATGTCATCAGTGGGATGACTCAACGCCCTGCTACACACAGAATATTTCTGGAACTCATTGGCTGAGATCATGTTAGACATTACAGATGAGCAAAACAGGGTACTCCGTCTCTACATAGCCTTGATTTCATACCTTGCACAGTCTTTGCTGTCTAGGTACATGTACATATCTACCTGTTTCAAGAAATAACTGATGTGAGCTACAGCGGAACTGTGTAATAGCATACCTGAATTTACTTATTCTTACTGCAAGGCTCAACAGAAAATTGATTCTTGAACGATGAATAAAGAAACATATTAGTACTACCACACAACTGAGCATGCCAGTCCTGTTGATATTTGTTTGTTTGTTTCTTGTTTAACGCGGCTCTCAGCAATATTCCAGCTATATGACGGTGATCTGTAAATAATCGAGTCTGGACCAGACAATCAAGTGATTGACATCATGAGCAACGATCCACGCAATTGGGATACGATGACATGCATCAACCAAGTCAATGAGCCTGACCACCCGATCCCGTTAGTCGCCTAAGACAAGCATAGTCGCCTTTCACGGCAAGCATGGGTTGCTGAAGACCTATTCTATTCCGGATCTTCCTGTTGATGGGTAGTATTTAATCTATAAATAAATTCTGATATATTTCTTTACTGTTCTTGACTCGAGTCTCTGGTTTTCTCAAATATCCAAATCCATATTTTTAAAGATGAGACTTTATCTTTGACTTTATCAGTTATTTTTTTCCATTATTACATGCCTGATATATCTTTTCATAACTTTTATGGATACTGTGAATCTGAATTTGTTATTACTTCACGCCAATATTTGATACAACGTTTAAACGCTAATATATAATATAGATATCTACCACATTCTCCAAGTGCGACATGATTCGGCGTGAGAATTTGATTGCTAGGGATCTTCTACATCAAGTATGTGTTCAGCTTCTATTTCTTTAATTTCATCCATACCCCATTTGTTTTTGAAAATAGTGTATACGGAAGAGGTTTATATCCTAAAGTGATTTCATGATGGAAAACAGATGGAATGTTACACTATAATAGTTTTGACCAAGATAAATTATTTGCAAAACATGCACCAAAATGGATAAATGATGACACCCATTCATTTAGGTGAGGATCATACTTTATTAAAGACAACTTTCGTGTTTTCTAGGTTTACTGAATGTGGCGAGTATTTACATTTCGGCTCTGCATGCAATGTGGTGAGTGTCTACATTTCGGGCCTGCATGCAATGTGGCGAGTGTCTACATTTCGGCCCTGCATGCAATTTTGTGAGTGTCTACATTTCGGCACTGCATGCAATGTGGTGAGTGTCGACATTTCGGCTCTGCATGCAATGTGGTGAGTGTCTAAATTTCGGCACTGCATGCAATGTGGTGAGTGTCGACATTTCGGCACTGCATGCAATGTGGTGAGTGTCTACATTTCGTCCCTGCATGCAATGTTGTGAGTGTCTACATTTCGGCACTGCATGCAATGTGGCGAGTGTCTACATTTCGGCACTGCATGCAATGTGGCGAGTGGCGACATTTCGGCACTGCATGCAATGTGGTGAGTGTCATTTCAGCACTGCATGCAATGTGGTGAGTGTCATTTCGGCACTGCATACAATGTGATGAGTGTCTACATTTCGGCACTGCATACAATGTGGCGAGTGTCTACATTTCGGCACTGCATGCAATGTGGTGAGTGTCTACATTTCGGCCCTGCATGCAATGTGGTGAGTGTCTAGATTTCGGCTCTGCGTGCAATGTGGTGACTGTCTACATTTCGGCACTGCATGCAATGTGGTGAGTGTCTACATTTCGGCACTGCTTGCAATGTGGTGAGTGGCGACATTTCGGCACTACATGCAATGTGGTGAGTGTCGACATTTCGTCCCTGCATGCAATGTAGTGAGTGTCGACATTTCGTCCCTGCATGCAATGTAGTGAGTGTCGACATTTCGGCACTGCATGCAATGTGGCGAGTGGCGACATTTCGGCCCTGCATGCAATGTGGTGAGTGTCTACATTTCGGCCCTGCATGCAATGTGGTAAGTGTCTACATTTAGGCACTGCATGCAATGTGGTGAGTGTCTACATTTCGGCTCTGCATGTAATGTGGTGAGTGTGGACATTTCGGCACTGCATGCAATGTGGCGAGTGGCGACATTTCGGCCCTGCATGCAATGTGGTGAGTGTCTACATTTCGGCACTGCATGCAATGTGGTGAGTGTGGACATTTCGGCCCTGCATGCGATGTGGTGAGTGTCTACATTTCGGCACTGCATGTCATGTGGTAAGTGTGGACATTTCGGCCCTGCATGCAATGTGGTGAGTGTCTACATTTCGGCTCTGCATGCAATGTGGTGAGTGTCTACATTTAGGCACTGCATGCAATGTGGTGAGTGTCTACATTTCGGCACCGCATGTATACAACAGGATGAAACCTTCCAAATATAAGATAAGCATTATTTTCTTGCCCGTTGTCAGAAATGATCTAGGGCCTATTTTAGTAGATGACGGACTGACAAGGTTAAATCCATTTATAGAAAACTACTTCTTTATTTTGCTGTAATAGCGCCACGTTTCGGTACAGACCCTTAAATGTCGCTGTTGCACAACATAATGACGTTATTATCCACAAAATATGACAACTTTGTAAGAAAAATATCGCCATAATCAGTCACGTGGAAAACCAACAAAAGGTATAAAGGGGGATCCCTTCGATATCCTTTCATCCCGCACTTCTCCCGCAACTGTGTCCGATCTGATCTGTAGTGAAATTGTAAGTACGGTTTTAACATGTTCAACCATTAGTATATCTTCGTAAACCATTATTCTACCATGAATTTGGAATTTACTCGATTCTGATTGGTCAATCAGAAGCTATTAAATCACAATAAACCCCCTCTGATTTAAACAGCTGGTTTGACAGCCGCATCACCGCGGAAGCTAATATTCATAGAATAGTACTATTTTCAGTCATTGTCGGTAGGCATATTTAAATAATTATATCTACAATTACAGGTTACAAAATGCACAGATGCAGTTACTATAATATTCAAAGGATGTGTGGCAATACAATATCGTGCAGAAAAACACGACAGAAACCAACAAAGGGAATGTATTTACATTTTGGAGACAACAGAGAGCTTGGAATTTTGGCGATTTTCTATATACGACTGTGATGTTATATCTTTCGCGTCACAATGAGCGATATGACGTCATAATGGTGACGTGCGATGTGGTGCGAAAGCCTTGAAAAGCTTGCTTTGTTTTCTTTAGGGATGCCCACCTCATGTTAGCTTACCAAGTTGCCGTGCTTATATGCTTTAAATGCCTTGTCATATGTTCGAGTGAAGTATTACGGTGTAAACAAACTGCTTGAGTATATACAGCACCATATTTTGTTCGGCGATTCCGTAATTCAGATCGTTAACCCACTCAAAACACTGAACTTAACCCGTGCCGCTTCACTCAGTATATTTGCTAACACCAAAGAGTTCGCGTTTTATTTAGTCATGGTAGAATGGAGATAAACATGCGCGTTCGGTTCCAAATTCAATTTAGCGGGGTTAAATCTACAGGTAACCTAGCTATACATTGAAAACACAGTATGTTTATCTCCTAAGTAAACCTTAGTAGAGCATTATCAAATCTTAGTAAAGCATTAGTAAGTATTGCATTTTTGTTACGCTAACCATACGCACTGACAGTGTTATCAGTTGAACAGGACATGCTCAGCCGAACACGTGCTGCCCTCACTGTTAGTAGGCGATGATTAGAGAGTGAATGAGTGAGTTAGGTTTAACGCGTGTCTTAGTACGCGAGGAAAGTGATGCAGGTCTCAGATGTTTAGCACTTTGGTGAAACCGAAGAGCACGGGTATGGGGCTGACAAACCTAGAAACATAATCGGGGCGAACTGGTATTCGAAACCGCAATCATGGGTTTCTGTTGTGCCCAAGGGACTTCGCTCAGTACAGCGAACTGCGAATTATCCATAAGCCAATCTTGTCTGCATTGACAGTAGACATCCTCCGTGTTCTAGTGGACGGAGCGTCCGGTGGGAGATCGGAAGGTCGGTAGTTCGATCCCTTGAGCGGGTCTTACCCAAGAAAGATGGTACTTGTTAAAAGATGGTAGTTGTAGTTAACCTGCCTGGCCCTCGTCATTCAGGGGACAAAATGATAGTGGTCAACTCGGAGTCAGTATACTGTGACTGAGTTGGGTAATCAATCTGAAAATGCAGTATGGTATCTCAGTGTGCTAGAACTATAACACCAGCATTAGTCCGGATTATCACAAGCACACCACACCCTTCCACACACGCACACGTGCATGCACATCGCTTTATAAGTGCAATAAGCTTGAACGCGACATCTCACTGAGGCTGACTTATATCATTATGGATTTCAATTTCTTTAATTAGTCTTCCCATGCAAAGTAACGAAATGTCGCATAGCAAGAAACAAGAAGTCAATGCAATGATTCCAGATTGTCGATATCTATGAATTTGTCAGGTCCGTGTTTTGGCACTCGTGTCTGAGAGATGCGAGTACGGGGATACTTCAAATAGTAGTGTCTGTGTTTACTGTTATAAGGGGCGGTGGGGTAGTCTAGTGGTTAAAGCGTACGCTCGTCACGCCGAAGGCCTGGGTTCGATTCCCCACATGGGTACAATATGTGAAGCCTATTTCTGGTGTCCCCCGAATTGATATTGCTGGAATATTTCTAAAAGCGGCGAAAAGCCATAGTCTCACTTACTGCAATAAACTAGCATGCAGGATGAAGGAATCTAATTATACGTGATTAAATGTAAACGATGTCTTAAATATAAGTCATTCATGTTGTTTGTCACTTGTTTGTCAATTAAATCATGGCAATGAGAGGTAGTGGGGGTTTGATGGCAAGTCTTAACAAGATTTTATCAGCACATGAATGACATTGAAGAGTCTTTCTTACTTCACAGCTATTTGAACAGCAGACATGAAGTTCGCCGTATTTCTCCTTGTCTTGGCATGTGTTTGCGCTGTCGCCCTAAGCGCTCCTCGTAAAAGGAGGTGCAGACGCGAAGGTGAGAACGGCAACGGCAATGGCAACGGTGAGAACGGCGATGACAATGGCAACGGTGAGAACGGCAATGGCAATGGCAACGGTGAGAACGGCAATGGCAACGGTGACAACGGCAATGGAGAATGTGACGAAGGGAACAATGATGACAAATATGATGACTCGAACGACAACGGTAACGGCAATGGCAACGGTAAAGACAACGGAAATGGCAACGGCAATGGCAACGGCAATGACAACGGTAACGGCAATGGCAACGGCAACGGTAACGGCAATGACAACGGTTACGACAACGGTAACGGCAACGGTAAAGACAACGGTAACGGCAATGGCAACGGTAACGGCAATGGCAACGGTAGAGACAACGGCAATGGTAATGGCAATGGCAACGGGAACGGCAACGGTTACGACAACGGTAACGGCAATGGCAACGGTAAAGACAACGGTAACGGCAATGGCAACGGTAAAGACAACGGTAACGGCAATGGCAAATGTAAAGACAACGGTAATGGCAACGGTTACGACAACGGTAACGGCAATGGCAACGGTAAAGACAACGGTAACGGCAATAGCAATGGTAACGGCAATGGCAACGGTAACGGCAATGGCAACGGTAGAGACAACGGCAATGGCAATGGCAATGGCAACGGGAACGGCAACGGTTACGACAACGGTAACGGCAATGGCAACGGTAAAGACAACGGTAACGGCAATGGCAACGGTAACGGCAATGGCAACGGTAAAGACAACGGCAATGGCAACGGTTACGACAACGGTAACGGGAATGGCAACGGTAAAGACAACGGTAACGGCAATGGTAACGGCAATGGCAACGGTAGAGACAACGGCAATGGCAATGGCAATGGCAACGGGAACGACAACGGTTACGACAACGGTAACGGCAATGGCAACGGTAAAGACAACGGTAACGGCAATGGCAACGGTAACGGCAATGGCAACGGTAAAGACAACGGCAATGGCAACGGTTACGACAACGGTAACGGGAATGGCAACGGTAAAGACAACGGTAACGGCAATGGTAACGGCAATGGCAACGGTAGAGACAACGGCAATGGCAATGGCAACGGGAACGGCAACGGTTACGACAACGGTAACGGCAATGGCAACGGTAAAGACAACGGTAACGGCAATGGCAACGGTAACGGCAATGGCAACGGTAAAGACAACGGTAACGGCAATGGTAACGGCAATGGCAACGGTAGAGACAACGGCAATGGCAATGGCAACGGGAACGGCAACGGTTACGACAACGGTAACGGCAATGGCAACGGTAAAGACAACGGTAACGGCAATGGCAACGGTAACGGCAATGGCAACGGTAAAGACAACGGCAATGGCAACGGTTACGACAACGGTAACGGGAATGGCAACGGTAAAGACAACGGTAACGGCAATGGTAACGGCAATGGCAACGGTAGAGACAACGGCAATGGCAATGGCAACGGGAACGGCAACGGTTACGACAACGGTAACGGCAATGGCAACGGTAAAGACAACGGTAACGGCAATGGCAACGGTAACGGCAATGGCAACGGTAAAGACAACGGTAACGGCAATGGTAACGGCAATGGCAACGGTAGAGACAACGGCAATGGCAATGGCAACGGGAACGGCAACGGTTACGACAACGGTAACGGCAATGGCAACGGTAAAGACAACGGTAACGGCAATGGCAACGGTAACGGGAATGGCAACGGTAAAGACAACGGTAACGGCAATGGTAACGGCAATGGCAACGGTAGAGACAACGGCAATGGCAATGGCAATGGCAACGGTAACGGCAATGGCAACGGTAAAGACAACGGCAATGGCAACGGTTACGACAACGGTAACGGCAATGGCAACGGTAAAGACAACGGTAACGGCAATGGCAACGGTAACGGGAATGGCAACGGTAAAGACAACGGCAATGGCAACGGTTACGACAACGGTAACGGCAATGGCAACGGTAAAGACAACGGTAACGGCAATGGCAACGGTAACGGCAATGGCAACGGTTACGACAACGGTAACGGCAATGGCAACGGTTACGACAACGGTAACGGCAATGGCAATGGCAATGGCAATGACAACGGTAATGGCAATGGCAACGGCAACGGTAACGGCAACGGCAACGGTTACGACAACGGTAACGGCAATGGCAACGGTAACGGTAATGGCAACGGTTACGACAAAGGTAACGGCAATGGCAATGGCAATGACAACGGTAACGGCAATGGCAACGGCAACGGCAACGGCAACGGTAACGGCAATGGCAATGGCGGCGGGTAACGGCTAAATTAACTGAGGTCGAACAGATGCTCTTCCAGCGCATCTGTCTAAATGTAAGTTATATGAATGTGACATACACTTTGAGTTAACTGTTTTTGTTCGACAAAACTTTTCCATAAACTTGAATTTATATTTCCTACCTTTGAAATGACATGCCGGCAAAGCAGCAATTTATATTTAAATAAGCATATGCATGGATGCATTGAACACATGCACAATTCACACCACTGGGTATATGGGCAACATTGATTCTTGTCATGTCGGTTCGAAAGGCTAAATTGTACTGGTACATGTGATGGTACAAAGTGGTCAGAGCATGTACCATTATGCAATCAGCATCCATTATCCATTATCTCAACTCCTATACCTGTTGGGGATGTTGCAAACATAACGAACTGACCAGTCCTCTATGAAAACTTTTTTGCAACAATGTATTTTTTGTCAACAGTCTGAAGCATAATTCTATTTTTCAAAAATATTCTGGGTTAATTCTCCACTCCCCCTCCCCCCATTAAATGGTTCATAAAATCATGTAATCACAAAATATGCAGCCCTATCACGGTGGCTTGTGAGTAATCGAGTCTGTAGAACCGGGGTCGATAGAATGAAGGCTTAACGGTGTACCATGACGAAAATATCAGTTATATATTGTGGTGAGAAATCCAACCATTATACCACCACACATCCAGTGTGATCCTCAGATCCGTACTGATGATGTACAGCCGGATAACGTACTAAACGTATGCTTTTACTTTCAGGTGAAGCAGTTTCCCAGCGAGCGTAATCATGAATTAATGTCCTGCAATCTTAAATAAATACTTTTCCCTATCTTTCAATCTTTGTTGACAATGATTTTGTTGTTAATTATCGATAGCTCTGACGCTTAATAGATGTTTGACGATAGGTCCGGCCATTAACTGATATTCGGAGAAATTATTATGGCGATATCTTCATCATTTTGTCAGATAAGGATAGCTGAGATCGGCGTTAAACAACAAACAAACAAAATAAAAAGGACAAGGATAGTTGAAGGTTCGTGGATTCTGAGAGATTTTCTAACATGGGTTAAGGTGGAAGATCACAAACAATTGTTCGTGGAGTAAATTATTTAGATCGGGGCTCTCGACGAAATTGAAAGCTTAAAACCGTAACACTCGCATTGCAATGAGCTGCCACACGCCACACAGTGTCCTATCAAACACCAATAGTAAAGTAATACCTTGGTTGGACGTCATACTGGTCAGTTATCAGCTTTAGATATTTAGTGGTATTATAACCGCAGGTCTAAATCAATACTATTGACATCATTTCTCCCCCTTTGTGGGGGAACGGTTGGCCAGGTCGTCTAAGGTTTGTCAGTACCATACCGATACTCATGGGTTTCATCAAAGTGGTAATTTAAATCGTCTGAGGCCTGTATCACTTCTACCGTGATATAAACGGCATACTGTTCAAAGCGGCGTTAAATCCATTCACTCACTTACGCATTTCAAACACAACCTGATACATTAAATACACGTCTGTCTCAAATAGTAATCGGTCCACCTTGGACATTTGAGAATTCTTTCAATTGTTGGCTATTCATGGAAGAATAAGCCACAACAGGGCTTTCCCCCACATTACACGGAAGCTGACAGGGCGTGATGTAACTGCATTGAGCCCAGCTCACTCATTCTCCACTTTTGTAGATTTAAGGTTCCCAGTATCAAATGTTGTCATACATGATAACTTTTAAAGAACTGGCCAGTTGCCATCAGGTCAATCATTTTATTTAGTAAAGAGGCATATATATTTCACACCGTAAAGCGCATGATAGCAACAGATTATACTCTCATTTAGAAATGGATTTGTACATTCATGTTGTTGTGTAGTAGGATACACATCAGTAAATTTTGCGTCCCTTGGACACACCAGAAACCTATGACTGTGGGTTCGAATCCCGGTTCGTCCAGATTATGTTTCTAGGTTTTTCATCACCATACCCGTGCTCATGGCTTTCACCGAAGTTGTAAACGTCTGAGACCTGCATCACCTCGTGGCTTTCCTCCCACAATAAGCTGATTCGTCGTAGTACAACTGGAAGTCTGTTCAAAGCGGCGTTAAACTATACGCACTCACTCACTCACTTGTCATTTCCGTGTTCTCTGTTATTAACATCGTGGCCAACAATGCCGATCCGATAAATGTGAGCGCTATGACATGGTCGTCACATTTGTTATTGCCATAACCAAACCTTTCCCTTTTCCATTGTCATTATAATATACTCATCTGTGTGCGTTGCCAGGATTCCAGGAACAAAAAGACCTTCTTTGATTGTTCTAAGAGTTAGGGTTAATGTTTTGCGACAAGAATTTGTTGGTACATTTGCTAGACCCTACAATCCATCTCTTCTGGTACGGGGTTTATGGAGCTTTATATAGAGATCCAGGGCAAAAGTTGATAGTGATATTGTTTTGTTACATCAATCTTTACACTTATAAGCGCAACTGGATAAGTGAAGTGACGGTCGGAGCGGGTCTGTTGAAGCGCCTTAAAAGGGCAGTTTATGATCATGTTTATCACAACCCTTTCTTAATCATATTTGTTTGTTTGTTGTTTAACGCCGCACTCAGCAATATTCCAGCTATATGACGGCGGTCTGTAAAATAATCGAGTCTGGACCAAACAATCAAGTGATTGACATCATGAGCATCGATCTACGCAATTGGAATCGATGACATATATCAACCAAGTCAGCGAGCCTGACCACCCGATCCCGTTAGTGGCCTTTTACGACAAGCATTGCCGCCTAAAGAGATCGCAGTGCCGTGTACGAATATATCCTTAACATGTGCTTATCAATCTATCAAATAGTGATTATACATGAAGTTGAACGTATGCTGCCCCACTGGGAACACCCGTCACTAACACACGCAAAGGCATGTCAAGTGTTCACATCTCCACATGTTGGTCGTAAAACGTGTTGAAGGCCGTACTGAGGCATTGAATGTTGTAACCCTGATCAAACAACTTTTGAACAAGAGCAACTTGACGCCGTATTCATACAAAGAGCATGCTTGATTGCATGTCAAAAGTTGTGAAATGAAGACACCAAAGGCAGGTGCTGCTGAAATAGTACTCGACATACAGGAAAACATACGTATTATCCCTCGAGGGCCTGCCTTTCGCTCTGCATTGAGGGGCTAAAATAAGGACTGCTCGACTCCGAGTCCGAGTATGCTGTGTATTCATGTTCAACTACGGCATGGTATCACAGTGTGCTAGCAATATAAACTCGGCATTACTCCAAAATAGTACAAGCACACACACACACACACACACACACACACACACACACACACACACACACACACACACACACACACACACACACACACACACACACACACACACACACACACACACACACACACACACACACAAAGACACACACACACAAAGACACACACACACTAACACTAACACACACACTAACACACTAACACACTAACACACTAACACACACACTAACACACACACTCAGGCATGCATGTCGCTATGAAATTGCAACGATATTAGACGCGACGTGTAACCCTATTTCTCCTCACCTAGCTTTTGATGTTAAACGTATGTGCCACTGTTCTTACAAAACAATAACACATCATATACAAGATTAATGGTATCGTTATGTCGCATATATTCTCCAACATTATAAAACACGGATCTCTTGTTTATGGCGTGATTCACAAACACAAAAAGATAATATTTATGTATCACGATACAAGTGTTTCTGCATCCATAAACTTATGTATACTGCGCAATGCATGACATTCAAACAACTTGTTGATCAACCAGCAAACCACGACATGCTCCTGGCAATGGTAATAGTAATTCACATGCATAAAATATGCATATTGAGCGTGACGCATCATGGGTAATTATACCGCGGTTTGTTGATCCTGTCTTTTGTGATCGTCCCAAAGCAGGTTCTGCATGGCGTTAAAGAGATAAAATATGACATATTGTGTATGATAAATGAGAACTAGGTCAGGCATGACATTACATGTGTGTCTATATAATAAGAGAGTGAACGGTCATCAGGAAACGTCACCACACAAGGATATAATATTCGTTAACACCACTGGTCTGATGTAAGTATAACAATTGTCATTCTTTGTGCATTTATTACTTCTCAAGTCAATGTCGCACGAGTTATGATTATTACATACAAGGAACAAACATTTTTTTATAAGGAAGATAATTAATTGATGCCAACCTCTTTATTACGAGGAACAAAACGTTTGGGAGTTTATACTTACTCCTTCATCGGGTGAATAAATGCTATGAAGCAGAGAACTGTAAAGTGTTGGATACCACTTATCAATTACTAATCACCTGTTAGCGTCAATTAACTATTGCCGTCCCTTGTTAAGTTTCCACCTTCGTTATCTTATTACTTTTGTTGTTCTTACAGGTACATACATATGTACCAAAAGCCGTTGAAAGATGGCACTTGTTATTACCCTGCCTGGCGCTCGGCACTAAGGGGCTAAAACAAGGACTGACCAGCTCGGAGTCAGTATACTGTGTCTGAGTGGGGTATTTATGTTAAACTGCGGCATGGTATCTCAGTAGGCTAGCACTATAAAATCGGCATTTATTCCGGACTAGTACAAGCAGCCTACACACGCGTGCATGCACCTCACAATAAGTGCAATAATTTTGAACGCGACATTAAACCCCCATTTCACCCCAACTCAACACAATTGGCCCATAACGATCCAACACATTTTAAACCTATTTAATCTGCTAATGTTTAATTGTTTTCAGATTCACTATGACATCACACGGTACAGTACCGTTTACCATTCTTACGTGTGTCAGCGTTGCTCTGGTGCCTGGCGACGATGCATCAATGACGACAATGCCATCTTCTGTGGACACGCCCATCCCAATTCCGATCATGGACTGGCAAGGTAGATAACAGTAAATGTAGACTTTGATAGGCATTTACAAGTTGGAAGAACAGGAATATATGACACATTTTATGGATAGCAACTCCCTTTTTCTTTGTACGGCGTTTCAGAGCTACTTCTTGCTCCTTCATCAGCGAAGTAGCTCCTACAAACGTTGTTTCTCCTTTACAATTAAAAATATGTAATCTGTCTGGTAATATTGTTTATTGGCCTGTACTACGGATGAAATCGACTGATTTGCTTTTTTATATTGTGCCAGGAGGTACTAATTGCTTTCGAACATTCGACTTGATCATTTGTAGTGATGTGTTCTTTCTGTATATAAGTAATGACTTCAGAACCATTGGCTTTTGGCAGATCCCCGCCCATTTCGTGGTTTTGGCCGTGTATTCCGACCCTCCCGATGCCTGATGGGGTGTCGGTTTGGCAACGCCCCGTTTGACTGTACGTGTCCACGTCGACCAGAATATACCTGTGCTGTGAGTAGAATGGTAGCTTCTCTCTTTTGCAAAATGAAATGTTATTTTAGAATCAAGGTGACACACTCACTCTGAATGTCATTCTATTTACTTCATTTTTAATCATTTGCAAGGTGGAACACAAATACTGACGTTGTCCTCCGGGTTTGTTTTGTTGGAATGAAGTATTGTACTGAATGAGGTCGATCTAATGTTATGATTGTTAATTGTTATTGTTATTTGTGGTATTAGCGGGAACCCCTGCCGTTCATACCACACGTAACACTAATGCCAAGTCTTTTTTGGTTCCATAAGCGGAAAGTCGGTGGTTCGATGCCCAGTTGCGTCATACAACACGACGCTAAGTGCAA